CCTTCCTCCCTTCCTCCCTTCCAATATACTTTATTTAGTTATTTTTGTTTACAACTGAAACTCTGGGAATTCAAAATTAACATCCTTGCCCATGAGCTGCTTATAGACACCAGAAAAGGTTTCAGCCTTGTGTTCTGCATTATTCTGCTGTGCTTCGTCCAAATGAATGTTCATGAGCCGGCTGCCACCCAGTTTCGTGCAGATTCTCTTGCCCACAGTTTCTCTTGGGAAGACCCAAGTCCTCAAGGGTCACAGTGTGCATGCCTGTCAGAGTGTAGCTCCTGGGATGCTTTTGCTTATTTTTTGTGTGGCTTTTTCAAGTTGGCTTAGGTAGAATTCTCCTTTGAGTGATAAAGACAACGTGCTTCCCACTGAACTTTTTCTCCAATTCATGTACTAGCCGGACTTGGATTTTCTGGAAAGATTTCAGTTGAAGAATGGGAACAAAGATTATGATAGCTTTCCTGCCACCACCAATTGAGTTTCCTTGGCCATTGTTAATTCAGTTCCTTGAGCTGAGCCTTGAGGTCTGAATTCATCTCCAGCTCCAAAAGAGCCTAGGAAATGCTGGATTTGAACTCGTCTGGCTTGTCAACATTGGGTTTCATGATCTTGGCACTTGAACTGAGCATGGGCTTCTCCTTGCTGAGCGAAGGCTTAGGAAGAGCATGATTTCTGAATAAGAATATATTCATTTACCTTTTAAGATGTAGGTGTGAAATAAAGAATGGAATTATTCTTTTTCCTTTTTATGTACATTTCTAGATCCATCAGGGACCACAGCTCTCTGTTGTCGGAAAGCTTTTCTGCCTCTTATGCCTTACCCTGCAAAAACTTGTCTATATTGCTTGCTAGCTCTGTGGTTTTGGGCAGTTAGCTGATGTCTCACCCTTGAGTTATTTCATCTTTAAAATGAAAGTGATGGACCCTGCCTTGTGGATTGTTATGATTGGATTGTTGTAAAGTTCAGATGAGACAAGTGTTTGCATGAAAGCACTGTTACTCTTATTGAAAACATATTTAGAAGAAAAATCTGATATACGATGTTAATTTGCTGCATTATACAAAAAACTTAGTTAAAGGCCTCCTTTCCCTATCATAGTTCATTGTGTATTGAATTCCCTCTGAACTTAAGCAGGCAGAAGCCATCTTCTGTTGAATGATAGCAGAAAATGCCATCTGTTTCCCCTCTATTCACTATAAAGCCTTAATGCCACTTTATGCATGGGACTTATGCCTATGAATACATAAAATGTCTATTTTTTCCCCTTTTTAGTTCTTTGATTTAATGAGGAAAAGGTAAAACTAAGCATTTCATGTTTTGAATTCACATGTTTATTACTCAACATCATGACCATAGTTAAGGAGTACCCTATCTCTACCTCTTAAAGACTGTACTTTTAACAGGGAAGACAATGAAGAGCTGAGTTCTGGCAGCTCCAACCCAAGTGTGTGAGTGTGTGCATGTGCATATGTGCCAGTTTTTGAAAGAGTCTCTTAGGCCAATGTTCATTATGTCTTGTGCGTACTTACGATTTCTTGTAATGTATGCATGTTGTTCAGGTCTTATTTGCATTGTTCACTACATGTGAAGCTGCTGGGACCCTGTTTCCCTTTTAGAGCTTTTTCTCAAGCAGTTCTAAAGGTACAGAAGAGTAAAGCACAGAATTCAGAGATCTATTAAAATAAATTAGGACTGCTTAATTTTGTCTTTAGAAGAAAGTTACTTTTAAAAAATGTTCAACTATTCATGTGAGGTATGGTAACCCAATATAGCTAGTATGACAAATCTAGATTTGGTTTTTAATTTTAGTTCTGTGTCTAGAATCCAGTGGTGAAGGGGAAGACAGAAATTTCCCTTGTCCTGTTAGCCTTTCTTGACCATAACACTTACATGAGTCCTGAACCTGTTAGACATTTTCAGACTTCTTGTTTGTGATCCCTTTTTCTTTTTTATTACCTGACTTTGTAACTTCCAAATTAGTCTCCTGAATTTAACTCTTAAGTATATCTTTCAGTACATGGTATGGCCCTGTACAAGGCTTTAAGAAAATTTAATAAATTAGTATTTACAATAAACAACATAGTTAGGAATTGATTATTCATAGTACAGAAGAGCACCTTGATTTAAATAAGGATTTGGAACAGATCTATTTAAACTAGCAGTCTCCTTATAAACAAAAACAGTTGTTTATAATTAGATTGCTAACTACAGGAGGTAAGGAGGGTAGAGCTAGGGGAAGAAAGGACCCATTTGAGAATAAAGATGAAAAAGAAAAAGCTTTTGATCACTTTAAAGACTTAAGATTTGGATTTATAAGCATTTCACATCAGGGAACCAAAGAGAGCAGATAATTTCATTTACTGTCATTGGGTTAATTTGATCTAGCAAGCTTCTTTGAATGTAGATTATAAGTCACACAGATTTATGTGTACATAGATAGTATAAATAAAATACTAGTGTAGAACATGATGTACACTGGCATTTTATTTGTTAGTGTCAACATAATTTAAAATGATAGTTCCTTAGCAGATGGGGGATATGATATTAAGTGATTGTCTCGAATATAGTGTCACTTTAATGTTGTAGGTAGTTACTAATAGTAAATCCTTTTAAATGAAATAAGTATGGCAATATTTTAAAATATGTATTTTGAAGTAAGGCAAGTCAGTTAGTGAAAAAAAATACAAGTGCCCCATTTCCAAGGTAAGTTACTTGGCATTGTTCTTTAAGACACTAGTATTGCCTATATAGCCAGTTCCTAGCAAGTAAATTTTGTGCCTTGAAATAGTTTCTGTGATGATTTTTACTGATTTATTGAAAGTTAGGCCAGAATTTATTTCTGTTTCTTGTGTCCACATCATTTTCTCCGCCCATCAGTAAAACCATTACCAGATTCATCTTTCTAAAATAAGATTTTTAAAATTATCTCCCCCCACCCCATTCATGCTCACTTTTTTCAGAAATCTTTAATGGTTCCTCTTTTACCTAAAGCTCTCATTGGTTATTTTGAGCGTGGTATTCAGCACTCTTCATCTTCTGATGATAGGTTACCTTCTCTTTCACTGCTTTGCCACATGTATCCTCTCTGATTATCAAGGCTTGTTCCCTAAACATGGACCCTTCATTTCCTTCTTCGACCTTTGCTTGCATATTCCCCCTACCTAACCACCTTACTTCCTTCTCTTCTTTGGCCCTATCCCTTCTATAAAGAATAGTCAAAATTCAACTTACTTTACAAAGCCTACTTTTACCCTCTAGACAGGAATTTCTGGATTTTCTTGATGTATTTATTATCTTATTTTCCTTTTTTCATTAATTATTTTATTGCAAATGTAATCTATATCTCCCCAGTGAGATTGTAAGATAGCGTAAGGAACAATACCTTTCTGGGTCACTCTTTAGTGCCTCTTATGTTGTTTGAAACACGTAATATTGTTGATTGTTTGTGTTGAATACAATTTATTTTTGTCTTTAGGTTTACCATTGCTTGTTCAGAGAACAATTGCGAGAACTATTGTGTTACAAGAAAGCATTGGCAAAGGTCGATTTGGAGAAGTTTGGCGAGGGAAGTGGCGGGGAGAAGAAGTTGCCGTTAAGATATTCTCCTCCAGAGAAGAGCGCTCATGGTTCCGTGAGGCAGAGATTTATCAAACTGTAATGTTACGTCATGAAAATATCCTGGGATTTATAGCGGCAGACAATAAGGGTTGGTAACATTTGCTTGTATAACAACATCTATTTAAGCCTTTTTAAAGATGTAGCTACCAAACATCATCAAATTCAAAGATAAAAAGACGTTTGTCATATAAATTAGTCCATTAAGTCAAATACAATGTATTAGAAACTTTTAAAAACAGAAACTTCTTAAAGATTTTCTTGACTCTTGGCAACATGTTCCTGAATCTCTAATTGTTTTATAAAATGTAAACATTATCTTTTTTAGCTTGGCCAGACCTGTGGTCATCTTTTTCCTCCTTTCCCCTTCCGTTTCCTTCAGCAGTATTTATTTCTTCAGAATATTAACAGTGTTAATCTCAGTTGGTGATTATGGGTGATTTTTATGATTTTCTTTTTGTTTCTCTCTATTTTCAAAGTTATACACAACAAGCATGTATTGCTTCTTTATTTTTTAACTTTTATTTATAGAAAATTTACAACATACAGAAAAGTAGAGAATTAGTATAATGTTCCTCCATCATCTGGCTTCAATAATTATCAGTTCACTGCCAGTTATAATTGATCTCTGATCCCACCTACTCTGCCTCAACTCCATTATTTGAAGGCAGTCCCAGATAACATATCTTTTTATCCATAAACAATTTTAATTCGTATCTTTAAATGATGAGGACGCTTTTATCACAGGGTTTTTTTTATCACATTTTCGATTTTGCTGATTGAATTCCCATAGTGTCTCTTAACTAGCTCCTCTGTATTTTCTCAAAACTGTTAGATTTAGAGGCTGAATCTGATTGAGGTTTTATTGGTTTTATCCAGAATACATATTAGGGATGTTGTACACTTCCTATTGCATCACATCAGGGGATATATAATGTTTATGACAAGAGCAGTGATGGGTGTAGGCAGCGGTTATTAGTGGCTACTAACAATTCAGTATTACTTAATTTAAAAACAAAACAAACAAAAGCAGTAACCAAACAGCCTAACCAAATCCTTAGTTCTCATTTTGTCTGCCTTTGACACCATTTAGCTCCTCCCCCAACTCTTAAAATTACCTTTATTATCTTCTATGGCCCCAGACTTTGTTTCTTCTTAATAGTTGTCTTTGTTTTTCAAACTCTTACTCTTCTTACTGATTCATTTGAAGGCTTTAACTGTACAAATAGTAATTACTCCCTTAAAGAACTTAACCACATTCATGGTTCCAAACTCTACTATGGTGAGGCTTTCAAATCTGTATTTTGAAGCTTAAACCTCACCGAGGGTCTGTTTGTACCGTGTTCCAAGTTGCAAACACACAGGCACAAAATGCTAGTGTTGCTGTGCCCTGAACTTTCTCCAACCAAGCTGATGCTGTCATCTGGTGGTCACCATGGGAACTAGCTGACCCTACTGACTTTTTCCTACCCACTTCTTTCTACTTTGTCAGAGGTTAATGGACTTTGTTCTGAACCTAGCCCTCCACCCCAATTCCCTTTTCCTTTGTCTTCATCCTCCTGTTGGTGAATTCCCCTCAGACAGCCCTTTATATGCACGGCCCCTCATATAACCTTACTTGTCAGTAACCTCAGACGATCTCCCTTTCTTCCATCTGCCTGTCTTCCTCTATAGTTCTTGTATTTGTGAGCCCCTCAAAATTCAGCCATGGTTAAAAGGCCTGCAAATAAGCTGGTAATGTACCTATATCAAGGAAAAGAAAAGGTGCAAATTTGGATAGAATCAGTTTGTAAAGTTTATAAAGAACAAGTTAACAAAGAACTGGTATGAATCTCTAAGGCCTTTTCAAAGTACCCAGAAGTCCTCTGCAGAATCTTCTGAAAAGTTCCTGTCTCTTTTCTTAATCACTTCTAATGAGTTGCTTTTCTTCAAGTAACAGCCTTCAAAATATAGAATTGTTTTATGTCAATTTGGGGTTTTTATCTTTTGTTTCACAACTAGTAAGGAAGGGAACAGCACATTTTAGGTTATTATCTACTAACTGCTTAAATCTAGCATTCTGTTTTTTAAATCTTCTTAACAGTCTTGCAAAATTAGGTACTATTCTTGTTATATAAAAGAAGAAACAGGCTGGGCGCAGTGGCTCACGCCTGTAATCCTAGCTCTCTGGGAGGCCGAGGCAGAAGGATGGTTTGAGCTCAGGAGTTCGAGACCAGCCTGAGCAAGAGCGAGACCCCGTCTCTACTAAAAAAATTAGAAAGAAATTAATCGGCCAACTAAAAATATATAGAAAAAATTAGCCGGGCATGGTGGCGCATGCCTGTAGTCCCAGCTACTCGGAAGGCTGAGGCAGTAGGATCACTTGAGCCCAGGAGTTTGAGGTTGCTGTGAGCTAGGCTGACGCCACGGCACTCACTCTAGCCCGGGCAACAGAGTGAGACTCTGTCTCAAAAAAAAAAAAAATAAGAAACAGATTCCTTGGTTAAGAAACTTGCCTGAAGTTGCATAATCAATAACGCAGGCCCTGGATTCCAACCCAGGTCAGAACAACTCCAAGTGTACATCTCTCACTGAATTGTGCTGTCTCCTAATGTTGCAGTGTCATTTTTTTTTTCATGATTTAATTAAATATGTGGGTTTTCCAGCTACTTCTGGGTTAAATAGGCTTTTGTTGCCGAGTCTAGCCTAGGAGCCTAGCCAGTATCTTTACCATTATTCCTGTGAGAAAACACATTTTGAACTCATGTATCAGCTTACAAAGGAACTTTTGGAACCAATGTTCCTTGTCATTTGGGTTCAAAATAACCGTGTAAAACTGGTTTTTGAGCTTTTCTAGCTTTTTCTCTTAATGTTTCAGTTTCTATCTCAGCTTCCCCATGTCTCAGAGGTACCACTATTTTTGTTTCTCTAAGCTAGCAACCTTGGAATTATAGTCACCTTGTCTTGCAAGGTGACTTTGTGAACTGTGTGTACAGTCTGTCGTTTGTCATTAAAACTCACTTTCAGTTTTGTCCCATACTATTCCATTCCTTCTGTGGCCATGCTGGGAGCCTTCTCGTCTCCCTCCATCCTTCCCTGTTGCCTTTCTTTTTTCCTTCTCTTCTTCCAAAAACAGCCACTGATCACCTAATCTGACCCAGGCATTTTTCTAGGCAGTCAAGAGTCTCAGCTCTGCTCCTATCTGTGTAGACGCAAGAAAGTTACCATCTTTGAGCTAGAATTTCTTGTCTTTTAAATGGGATTAATTATCCTTACCTTATCTTAAGAATGAGGGGCTTACTCTGAAGATGTAAAGGATATGTATGTAAAAGTGTAAGACAAACTGAATATATGAGAAAATGCGAAGGAGATGCATACAGACTAAAGGTGGCAGCGTACTGCAGTTGCGTGATTCAGGATTGAAAGTAAAAAATAATAACCTTTGAATAAATAAATCATAATTGTTCTGCAACCCAACTGAAATACTGTTATGCTGTTTTACAGACAATGGTACTTGGACTCAGCTCTGGTTGGTATCAGATTATCATGAGCATGGATCCCTTTTTGATTACTTGAACAGATACACAGTTACTGTGGAAGGAATGATAAAACTCGCTCTGTCCACAGCGAGTGGTCTTGCCCATCTTCACATGGAGATTGTTGGTACCCAAGGTAACTAAGCAGTTCTATTATTTAAGCTTTAAATTCCTATAAGTAATGTCTATTAAGAAAATAGAATTTAGCCTAACAGGAGATTTTAAAACGAATGTTTTAGATGAGAACATTTTGTCTTTCTATTAAATCTCAGATAGAGTTAGGAACCTGGGAATTTATTTAGATTCTCTAGTCATTGTAATAACACTGGGATATTTTTGTCGGTTCTTAAAAGTGGCATTCAGTCTTGCTTATGATGTTTAAGGATCTCAGTTTCAGAATTCAAATCTTTTTTTGTTTGTTTGTTTTGAGACAGAGTCTTGCTCTGTTGCCCGGGCTAGAGTGCCGTGGCGTCAGCCTAGCACACAGCAACCTCAAACTCCTGGACTCAAGCAATCCTTTTGCCTCAGCCTCTGGAGTAGCTGGGACTACAGGCATGCGCCACCATGCCCGGCTAACTTTTTCTACATATTTTTAGTCGTCCAGCTAATTTCTTTCTATTTTTAGTAGAGTCAGGGCCTCGCTCTTGCTCAGGCTGGTCTTGAACTCCTGAGCTCAAACCATCCTTCCGCCTCAGCCTCCCAGAGTGCTAGGATTACAGGTGTGAGCCACCACTCCTGGCCCAGAATTCAAGTCTTCAAGTGAATGCATTTTTATATGTAGTATCAAATGAAATGTGAAAGTGTTCTGTAAACATTACCATGCTGTATAAATGTTATGTGGCCACCTAATGATGATATTTGACCCTGAGATAAGGAGAGTGTGTGCAGTGGTTTTATAGTTGAAAAATTCAGTGCTGTTTTAGTTATGAAATGTTTTTGCTGTGGTATTTGTGCCTTGTAGTCTGTCAGACACCAATATACCTATCTGCTCTGGCGGTTGTCCCCTTGCTGCCCGATGGCTATGCCACTCCCGCTTTCCTGCACATGTGCTCCTTCACATCTTAGCCGGCTCCATCTTTGTAGTTATTGTTATTATTAGTTATAACAGTTCTGTTGAGTTACAATTCACATATCGTACAATTCACCTGTTTAAAGTGTACAATTCGGTGGTTTTTAGAATATTCACAGAGTTGTGCAGTCAACACCACAATCAATTTTAGAACATTTTCTTCACTCCAAAGAGAAACTCTGTAGTTATTAGCACTCACTCCCCTTTCCCCCTCAAAACTCCTTATCCCTAGGCAACCACTAATCTGCTTTCTGGCTATAGATTTGCTTATTCTGGACATTTTATATAAATGGATCATGCAAGATGTGGTCTTTGTGACTGGCTTCTTTCACTTAGCATGTTTTCAAGGTTTATCCATGTTGTAACATGTATCAATATTTCATCTCTTTTTATGGTTGAGTAATATTTCATTGTACCACATTTTATGTATCCATTCATAAGTTGATGGACATTTGGGTTGTTTCCACTTTCGGCTATTAGGATTAATACTGTAATAAACGTTGGTGTAGATATGTGTTTTCAGTTATCTTAGGTATATACCTAAGAGTTGAATTTTGGGATCATATGGTAACTCCTTTTAATGGTTTGAAGAATTGCTAGGCTATTTTTTCAAAGTGCCTGAGCCATCTTACATATCAGCAGTGTATGAAAGTTCCAGATTTTCCACATTTTAATTATTATTTTTAATAGCACTTCTTCTAGATAATATACTTAATTCTGAGTACATTCCAGTTGATGGGAAAGGAAAATGATGATCTACATGCTTCGTTCCTGGGCATGAATATCAATCTGTGACTAGGATTCTTGTAAAGAATTTATAAGGTGCCAACAAACAAACTGATAACTTTTTTCACCTCTAATCTTTTTCTTTAAAGAAATGTAATTTTAGCAACTTTTCGCCAGTGATTCACTTGAGTTTTTTTAGTAATGACCTAGGTATTGTGGGTGATGCAGGCTGAAATGCTTTGGTACTGGGACGGGGAGGAGAGGCTTTTGAACCTGAAGGTGAGGGTTGTAAGCAATCATGTCCTATTTTCGATTCTTTAGGAAAACCAGCTATTGCTCATAGAGATTTGAAATCAAAGAATATCTTGGTGAAGAAGAATGGAACTTGCTGTATTGCAGACTTAGGACTGGCAGTAAGACA